CATAAGCCTGAGAACTAGAAAAAGTAAGAGCAAAAGTTAATGCATTTAGAAATGGAAGTTTAAAGTAAATCATAAATAAAATGTGATAGAAACTAAGAACGAACGGATTAAATTTTCAAGAGAATTAAAGACAGGAATATAAATTAATGAAACTAAGAATTCTTTCGTCTTACAGACTTCAGCTTAAGAACATACGTAGAAACAGTACTAATAAAGAGTTTTTATATACTTTAATGTTAATATATCTTTTAAAGATTCTGAATGGAAAAGTCTTGGCGATAAATATGATATTTTAGAATTTCAAAGGAATATTTCCAATAATTCGAACAAAATTAATTACAAAAGTACTTTTGCGCATTTATTTTTTTATTGCTTCCTTTGAAGCTACGACTTTCTTTTTAAATTGAAACCTCATAGGCATCTAAAGCAATCCATTTCTAAAAGCATTAGTCTGCTGAGTATGCTTTTCTTTTTGAAAATTCTAATCTGATTAGAAAAGTTATATGCTGTCAATTTAATCGATCTGTATTTTTAAAAGGAGACTGAAAACTACTTTTACCTTAGAGTTACCAATAAGAAATTCTGAATATAAAATAAAAAAGTCAATTTAAAATTGAACATAAACTTTAAATTAGCCAGTGTAATAATATAACTTTTAAACTTCTCATTTTACGATTAATTTTTTAAGTTATATACCCTCAGTTTACACTAAGAAATTATTTTTTGGGAAAACTTTTACAATGAACATTGCCGCTCAACCGGAATAGTGGTTAGTGACTCTATCATACCGAAGAGTCTGGGTTCAAATCCTGGAAGAGGCATGAATTTTTGTAAATGGATAGTGTCTACGCAACATAGGGGCGCTCAAAATATCCGAAAGACGAAAGCCCCCTCGTAAAGTTGGTGGTAGCGGCAAATAGGTGGGAGACCCTCGGACCCATCCCTTTGATGTACTCTCCTTTGAAATTGGGGACGGAACTGAGCAATGTCTTACTGTCACCTTTACGGTGCTCAAGACTGTTGCCAACGAAAGGCGCAATCCTGACTTGATGAATTTCGTGCTTGCTTTGATTTTAGGCAAGCGAGATTAGTTGCAACAGCAACAACAACAATGAGCGTTATAGTTCATTATGTAAAATATTTAATATAGTAAAAATGCTTTCTTCTTTTTTATTAATTTATTATCAAACTATAATAAAGGTCTGAAGCATAATCCTTAGTATTTTCAAGTAAATTATTTCAGAATTCCATCTGCTCAGTAGGCTGCTGCTGGAGAGCCTAGGGTTCGAAACTCAGACAAGTTACAAACATCCGGTAATTGTAGTGTTACACGGAATAGAAGCACAAACTGTCACTCCAAAAGCCCTTTCAGAATATAGATGAAGAAGTGATAGAGTTATTCCATTGTCTCGGCATTCGCAATCAAGTCCAAGGAAATCAGATTTTTATCGCTGGTGCTTTGTTTTGGAGAGACATTAGGATTTTTTGAAAGCATGAAAGATGACAAATTAGCAACGTCTTCCCCGGGAATCGAACTGCGGACCTCTGGAATACGCGCTCAGCGTGCAGGCCACCACACCACGAAGGCATGCCAAGAAGGTGTGAGAAATACATTATATACTCCCTCTTTTAAAGGGCGACTGGGGTTTTTAGGGGACCCAATCGCCAAATCCTGGATGTAGAAAATCATCATCCAACACCCTTTTAGTTCGGGCGCCACTGTAGAGACATTAAGACAGACATGGAGTAAAAAAAAAATAGCTGCAGTCCAATTTGGATATCTTTGGCCTTTTTTTATAAGGATCAATCACTATATTAAAAAACTTCTATTTTCCGAAAAACTTTCATTAGATAAATATCAACTTAATAACTGAATATTTCTTAGCATTCAGCCTACGTAATATTTGTCATTTTGTGCAGTTTGATTAAAAGGGGAAATATACTTGAAAGTGCAGTTTGATTAAAAAGGGAAATATACTTGAAAGTGCAGTTTGATTAAAAGGGGAAATATACTTGAAAGTGCAGTTTGATTAAAAGGGGAAATATACTTGAAACTACCATGTAAAAACTTAACGTTATTTGATCCATTTTTAAACGGAAATTTGGATGTACAATGAATTATTTGAGAGCTAATTATCAATGAAATCATTTTAAAACACCTAATATATCACATTCTCTCTTTCATATTAGTACCATGTTCTGCTCCTCTTAATCATTAAATTAATCAGAAAAGCTGCGAAATGTAATTCGTCGATACATATCTAACAGGAAAGTTAAATCAGATGCTCTGTTTGTTCCGCCTGAAATTACTTCTGCGTTTCATAAAATATTTAAATTAATGTGCCATTTCAAGATAAGGAATTGTGGAGCATCGGATACGCCCAGCGATATAACTGCAGTGTGTTATCATGGGCGGTAAACCTTTGTCGGTGTATAATCTTAAAATCGATTAACTAATAACTGTTCTCGGTGGAATGCTCTAATATTTGTGTGATCCAAATAAAGTTTTTAAATAAGTTGTGCATTTGTTGAAAGCTGGATTTACTTAACTGTACTATTCCGGGGTTTCTTCTACATTTGTAATCGCAGTAATATGAAGCAGAAATGCATGTGTTTGGATCAGTCTTTAGGTATCGTAACTAGAAGAATGTAAACTACTCAGTCTAGAAAATATACATTAAATGATCTTAAATAATGATATCTTGGTTGGTAACCTGAGCTTGCCGTCCTGAAACTCCTCTTTTGCAGCTTAACTTTATTATTGTGGAACAAGCTGGTGAGTTTGACTAAAATTATGTTAGCAGTTGCAGAGTAGCTAAGCCAGGCTGTTAGATTTTAAATTGTCAAAAATTTTAGTCTTTATTGTGTGTTTAGTACTTTGAAGTGGAAGCTAATTTTGTTAACGCTTTAGTTTTCTTATAATATCGAGCTAAATTGGGAATATCACGTAATTAAAAAATGTCTTTTAGTTTAGATTTTTCTCGGTTACTGCCACTTTCGCTTTCTAGGTTTGAAGATAAAGATCAGAAAATAATTCGACCGAAAGTCTTAAGAAAGTTATTTTAGTGCTTAATCTGAGCCAAACTATGTTAAATCTTGCATTAAATTTTATACCAATTAATTTCCTGTCCAATAAAATGCTAACGGCGTACAAATGTACGTTCAAAAAGTAAAATGTATTTCTCGAGAAACTTGGTGTCTTTAATTTAGAGAAAGTACGTGAGGTCTGACAGCCTAAGTTTCACTTCACCTTTGCCTGAAATAGATTTGTTTCCCCCGAAGAACACAGATGACATACTATGTTTGCCTATGCAATGGAGAAGAATCAACTATTTACCAGCTTCAGTAAAACACCAAGATTACCGAACAAATAACTGAAAGTGTAAATAGCAGAGCAATTGTATGCATATTGGTGATGTCAAAAAACAGGAATCAGCGTAATAGTTGTGAATTTTGTGGAACTAACCTTTCGATGGTTTAACTATCGAACCATCTGCCTCAGCTGCCTAAGTCATTTGCACTTAAGCAGCTGAAGGAAGCAGGAAGTTGGTTCTATATGGATATGGATATGGCGAAGGGTAGTGGATACCAATTGTTTAACTATTGGTAATGTGGGTGTTGTCCAGGCACACTAGTTATCTAGATAATTACATTTCACATGGCTCACAAGGGACCCTGCTAGACGTTGGTTGAAATGCATTGTATTGGTGCGTACCACACCGCGGGCAGTGCCTTTTTTTTGCATTGATGTTTTCACAGTTTCACCTTTCGCAATTGCATCCTCTGTAGAACAGCTCCATTTCTGCTTACATGCGATGTTTGAGGTAATATATCTTTGTTATGTTATTCTATGCTGTGTTGCATAACTCAGTGCCTGTTGTGGACAGGAAGTTCATTATATTTACGATTTTTTTCTGAGGTGGTTGTTCTTGGTAGCATATCTTATAAAAGGAGGCATTTCACTTTCTGAGTTTGGGACTTCTAAATGGTGTTCAGCTGTGATGGAGCATTTAAATGCATAATGTCCGGGACTGCCTCCTCCGCATACACACTGGTGTGATGTAGCTAAATTCCTTGCATAAAAGTACGTGGGAAAATAACCATGCCCTGATAAGAAAGACGCCTCTCTTTGTTCACTTGTTTTTGGTTCCCTTCTTCGCCTTCATGCCTGCCACGCAGAGTTTACTTTCCACTTCGTCCATTATCTAAGAAGATGTAAGCTGTACAAAGTTGTGGGGTGCAGATCGCACTTATAAATGATGCTTATGAATCTGTTTATGCGGATCAAGGCTTCCTCTATTATGTGTTCAAATCAGCTGCCACATCTGAAAGCTTTTATTTTCCGTTCTCTCATCTTGAGTATCCACGCAACTTTTTTTCGAATACTCGAGCTATCAAAGTAAATCATTATGTACATATGCATATCCAAAGTTTGAAATTTGTAGGTATTTCTGTTAAAATGTTTCTGTATACTCACTGGATACTCCGTATATTTATTTCCTATGAACAGTGATCTTCATATCATAAGAAGATCTCTAATTTTAAATACATTTTCCGAATTTGATCTCATAATCCTAAAATTAAGATAAGTAGTATTCAGTATAAAAATAATAACATAATTTAATGTAAACTACAAAAATAAATAGAAAACTTTATGTTTTATGTAGAATTGTTGCTGTTCATGTTGTTTATCTTCACCTGCATTCACCTGCTTCACGTTCTCAACAAATTTCATATTAAAAGAAATTTCAATGTAGATTGCTGCTTTACCTCATTCCGTTTTTGTCCTATTCATTAAGACTGAGATTTATACAAATTAATTACTTACTAGTTGCACACAGTAAAGTGCTGCCTTAAGAAATAAGATTTTCTAAAAAGTCAGCTGCCAACTTCAAACTCTTTCAGAACTCTAATTTGTAAGCTGTGAACGTAAGTACTTTTCAGATAATTATGAAGTGAAAAACGTCTGTTTTGTTTACTTGTTCTTTTTCTCCTTTTAGGAGGCTGCTCAAACTTACCCACCGGACTCCCTTCAGCCTATTATCTAAATTTCGTGGGCTGCATACATTCCGTGATTGTGGACGGCGAAGCTTTGAAGATCGCAGCTCACGGAGTAGGACAGCCCTGCCAGCGGACGTGACATAAATTGGAGAATCGTTGCGAAACTTGCACTGGTGCTATGACTACGGACCCTGTTACGTAAATAAATAATAACTGCGTACCGACAGGGAGCTAAAATAAAGCCCTCACTATTTATATTCGTTATACATACTGATTCTAAAACATAAAAATATACAATAGACTGATTGATATGTGACTTTACCTGTTCCTAACAAATTGATAATTGATGTGATAGGATGAATTAAGCATGGAACTAAAACCTCCAGGTTTATAACAACAATATGAAATTCATTGTATGTATATGTTTGTATATATATGCATCATTTACTTTTTTGTGCATGTGCAGACTATTTCCAAAATGATTGCACGATTTAATATCTCTTCAACGACTGGTCCTAATCTCATGGCCTCAACTTAGAAGATTAAACAAAAGAAGTAAGATCTTCTGAATATGACAGTTATAATCACATGACACATTTAAGTTAGAAATATGCAAAATTTACACTTTACACGCTCTTCCAAAACAGAGGACGAGTCTCTTTATTTGGTAAATACTTTATTTAAAGGAAAACAGATCTGGAATTATAACGGACCGCAAACAATTTTTAAAATCATATGTCCTGAATAAATTTCTTCGATGAAAGTCGTCTATTTGAACAATTGATAAAAAATTATGTATGTTAGTAAACTTTCGAAGCTTTCGAATTTCTGCACTTTCTTTAAAAGAAAATTTCAAATCTATATTTGTACATTCAAATTTGTCTTACGTAAAAATTATCATATTTAGGTGTCCGGATATTTATCTAATAATAAAAAGTTTAAATATCTGGGGAATGAATAATATTAGGATCGTTAGGTTTTGTTTTTCTAAGAAAGCAACTCCACAAATGACATACAAACATGTATGCAAAATAAATTTAGTTCAATTTAACTAATCTCTTTAATTAAATGAAAATAAAATTTTAAAAATCAGCTTACTTGTTAATTAGAAAATGTCTATGTGCTCTGTTTTGTCTGCTCGACAAATATCAAGGCAGTTCTCAATCCCTCTCCATGTGTTCTGTGAAATTTGAGGCATCGTGAATTCATATGCAGCGACAATTTTTTTCGAAGTTCTTACATGTCTTGCGCAAATGTCTTAATTTTATTCTAATAAGGAAGCACTAGGGCTGGAAATCAAGTCATGTGATTTGGGTACCATTTAAGTATGAAATTCTTTTTCATTTCAATTGTGTGGAAAATGGCTATCCCAAATATTTTCTAAGATTCCGAGGAATATTCTTTCACTCGCAAGCAAACGTGCAGTGCATGCACTGTAGTAACAAAATCACTTACAGATTATCAGTTTTTCTAAGTTTTCTCTTTCAGAAAACAAATTTGGGTCACGCGGTCGCTATTAGTTACAGGAATAATTAAATGTTCTTTTGATAATTATTTATCTGGATACCACATATGAATTGGCATTCAGCCGCTTAATTGCTTTAGATATCTTTATTTAGTACTTGACGTACTTTCCTCTCGAATGTGAAAGTTCACAGAAACTTGCGCTAATTTTTTCTGTGGCAAAATCTCATTTTATTATGTAAAATTTGTAAATTTATAAAAGCCAACAAAAACTTTAATTCATGACATTTTGGATGCTTATGATCGCATGATGATGTATTTTTATTATTTTTTCTTTATTTATTATACGAATTTGGACGTAAAAATTATTTTAATCATTCACACCGTTTTTTCTTCTACGTAAATAGTACAACAAGAATACAATCTTATATACATCCATAAAAAACGGTTTCAAAAGCTGTAAGAATGTATTAAGTTTAAAGAATTGTATTTTAATTCAATCTTAAAGTGGATCAACAACTATAAGAGCTATTTCATGTACATACTATATATATATGCATACACACTTGCGCATTATATATATTTATAATATACGTGCAAACCATTTCGAAACAGCCTGTACATGTGCATGTTAACTCTTTGTAGTCATTTAATATTAGAATAAATTTTGCATAATGTTTTATAAATCACGTGGACTGAAAGCTGCCAGATCTGTATAAATATATACTCTTTAGTTTCTTTATATCATACTTCACTTGTGCACATGGTATCAAGGAGTAAAAATACTACCTTCTGCTCAAGGAGAAATATTGAGCTTAAAATTACACTATAGATCAGATTTACATCACTGTCAAAACTTTAATATTTATGTTATGTTGATGTCTCCAGTATTTTTATCTTCAAATGGAAAAGGGTGACATGTGCTGTCAGTTCTAGTCGATTGGTTTCAGTATCATTCCTTTGAAAGAAATATAGGTAAACTGTGTTTTACCTTGAAGATATTTCAAGTCTGCTTCTGGTTGATATTGAAAGACGAGTAAGAAGTTTACACAAAGGGGAAAAGAAACCGCACAAAGGGGCCTTGTATATATACAAGAAAAGGAATTCTTGTTGGACATTGACATGAATTCTTCGTTTTATAAAATGGAAATTAATAATTATGTATAGTTTTAAGCTAATCACATTTTTAAATAAAGTCATTAAAATGTATGTGTTTATATTTTATTTTCAAGAAAGGCTTCACATTTGATCAGTCTTGTTAAGATATTGACATTATATTAATTGACGAAATATGGAGAAAACTACTCCTTTACATTAGAGACTTAATTTAATGTTTTCATTTTTTCGATATTTTCAATGATATTTTACGGTTTAATTAATTCTACTTCAGAATTCTTCTGTTATGTATGCATCTCCATCTTATCGAGATACTTTAATTTTCTGATTTCAAAATATTTCACAATTTATTTAGCCACAATATTGACTGTTTTTAATAATTTCATATGTACACTGCGAAAAAAAAATAAATAAAATAAAATGAAAAAAAGAGGGACAGTTCTATATCTTACATTCTACTGGGCCGGTTGACGGAATTCAAATTGTGTTTTTTATGTCTCGAAAGCCCGACTTAGGATGTATATTAGATTTATATGTAGCATTTTTCTAACATAGGTATTTTGACACAAAATTTGACTTTTTCTGAAATAACATGCCAAATCGTTTTACATATCTGAATTCTACGACTCAAATTATGCCTAAATATTAAATTTTGTAAAATTTCTTGTGAAATTTATGAAGAAATTTGAAATTTTATCTTGGCGGATTTTTTCAGTTTGCGCCAAGAATAGTTCATTTGGCGAACTTCTTAATATACAGCAACCTATTTTCCTTTCCCTTTTTACATTGTGCATTAGAGGCAAAAAAGTTATATCGTTCCCTACTTTCAAATAATTTTTTTCATAGTATATTTTTAATTATAATTTACCACAAAGGGCTATGTGTAGTCCAGATGCAGCCAGTTAACTCAGTGACGTTCCCAGAATAGAGTCGTCAGTATCATGAGGATATTCTCCAAGAAGGATCAAGAATCTCATAATTGCGGAACAGGCAAAAGTAGGGCCAGGACTTAATGATATTTGGTCACAGTTATTGGAGAGACCGTAGGATCTTGTGCTGTCTCTTTCTCTCCTCATACCCCTAAAGTTCTGGATTATGAGGGATGTTATAGTTTTTGTAATATCTCGATTAGCATTAATTTTCCAAATCTGGTAGTAGTTTTAGATTACATTTCCTCTAAGTCGATACGATGGCATTTGCATCGTCAAGAGTAATTTTATTATTACTACCATCGTTGAAATTTCTTGCCTATTCTGCTAGCCTGTCTGAGATTTCGTTTCCGGGAATGCCAACATGAGCAACTGCAGAATGCAGATTTTATTTAGATTGTCAGTTTCCATCAGATTATACTGAATATCTTGGACATGTGTCTACAAACCTTAATGTATTGCCTCTAAGGCAGCTCTGGAGTCTCAGAAGACAACCAAACCATCCATATTCACAAGTAAGCAACATTCATGTAAGGCTTGTTTATTGCTGTTAATTCGCTGGTAAAATTTCAGGCAAAGGGGGTCCTGTACATTTAATGAGTGAAATATATTAGTAAATAAACTCATTTATACTTTAATCATGTATAATACACTTTTATTTGAAGTCATCAGTACTACCAACCCAAGTCTTCCTAAATAAAGTTCGAATGGCCTCTTACTTCGCAGATTCTAGCCTGCCTTCACAAGCCCTGTTCATGCTTCATCAGCCTCACACCAATGAACTTTGGATTTTTTTCCATTACTCTCATTTCTTTTGTTCATTTCTTTCGAGTACTGCAGATTGAAAGAAGTTGAAATTATGACGTCTCGATTAACTCCTCTACGGCAGAGTTAATGGCATATAATAATTGAGAGCTTGGTAGCTCTAAACATGATTCTTTCTTCATTAGTTAATTTTACCTTTTTCAGTCAGTCCAATCATTTCTTTTTCTGAAATCGTCAAAAGATTAACTAAATATAGCAAAAAGTTGCGATTTAACTGCCAGTACTTTCTAAATATTGCTTAATTCTTGTAGTAAAATGGTGTTAAAAACTTTACGGATTATCAGAATTGTCGAACCACTGGATGCAACCTATCATACATTTGCCATATGCATATTGTTTATATGGGACATGGCGTTGAGATAAAAAATATTTATGTTGAGGCTCATTACTGCTTTATTACTGAAATAACATTCTATGAAACTTTGGATCTCACCCCATTTTGCAGAAATTTTGCGGATCAAGTAACTTCTTTCTTCTTCTTCTGAAGGCATTTCCTCCGCAATAATCTTTCGCTGTTGTCTCCGAAGCTCTAACGTTTCCATCCCACGTTCAATTTTGTGGGCTTCATATGAATTAAGCAATGGAGAGTAATACAATTATATACCTTAAAATCTCCGAGTCTCAGTTCTGCGTCAGACGTTACCTTAAAACATCTATGAAAAGGCGATTTGTTGTCAAGCTTCTTGAAATCTAAAATAACCTGATCTATGGTTTGTATTCGAGGAGACCAGACCTTCATTGTGATGAAATTTAACTCTTCCACCAACTCATCTGCCATGCCTTAAGGATGTTCAGGTGCATTATCTATCACGAGAAGGCACTTCAGTGACAGATTGTTTTCCTGTAATTATTTGTTCATATCTAAGCAGCGCTTTGCTTTTGTTACGCACTCTCCGATTCTGTTACTAGTAAGAAAGTAATGGATTAATTTTAAATTCTCCACTTGCATTTTCACACAACAAAAGGGTCAGCATATCCTTCATTGATTTGCATCCAAGTAATGCTACCTCCTCTTTAGTTGTATATGCAACCCCTGCCATTTTACGAGAGGTAATTGGTTTCCTCACAGTTGAATATTTGCTGGGCGAGAAATCCCTTAGCTTTTACGTTAGCACTAAAATCTTATGCATATTCCTCAGCAACATTTTGGTTCACATTAGCAGCTCCTCTATTCTTAACTACACTAGATATACAGTTATGCAGCTGCAGTTCTTTTCTTCAATTTCTCAAAGTACAATTCTGCAAAAGATGCACCCTGGATCATTGTTAACAACCATTACTGCCATTATTATAAATTTATTTTTAACTTAGAGAAAATTCGGCGTGTTTCAACAGCCGAATAACGATTTTGTTTTTGGAGGAGTTAAGGCAACAGGTAAGGTAATCATTAATTTGCCAGGACAAATTTCGAAGGTTTAAATATAGAACCTTATACTTCAGCTGCAGAAGTGCTAATGACGAATGAGAAGCTTGTGGTTAGGTGATAAGAATGAAAACAAGGAAGTCAATTTGCTGGCGCTATATATTGATCAAAAATGGAAACAACTAAGAAATAATTTTCTTAAAAGCTGAGAGTGAAGACGGACTTCAGCTGGGATCGTTAACTAGAATTGAAAGATTTTTATGAATGTCAAACGCTTCTAGAAAATCCAGTTCGCCAACGGGAGATGCTTTTGATTTGAATAATTCTGGCAGCAGAAAAATCAAAACTTTGCTGCTGAAAAATCGAAAATGTGATTTTCTGACTAACAGTATTGGACAACAGGGATTTATGCGATTCTTTTTTCCTTACATATGCCGCATGTTTCTTAGCTCAAACTTTTAAGGCTGTCTTTGTTTGACCAATGTAAATTAAACCATATTAGCAAAGAATCCTGTATATACCTCACGAATTCATTATCTAGAAAAGGAGGCTTTAAGTATGGAACTGCGAATTTTATTGACAGAAGAGAAAACGACACGATACTTGAATTTCTGATTTAGTTTCTTCAGGTCCATCGATTAGCTATAAAACTGCATATATTTCACAGAAATTCAAGCAAAGAAAAATCAGACAGGAACATCATGTTCGTATATGATGCCTTTCTTCACCTCAGTCATCATTTTGATCATTTTTCTTTCAATTTGCTGCTATCATTATCCTTCGGTAACCGCATAGTATCCTAGTTATTAATTTTAAATGAAATCAAGATCAGGGATGTAAACCGAGCAAAGGCCATACAACAACTGGCAAAATCTTGCCCTCCCTGTAACCGTACGATATTTATATGCATATATTACGTTACCTGCTACTCAGAAGAGTCCCATGATTTCTTTCGAATTTGTCTGTTTTTACTCAGGTCCTTCAGATTTTTTTATGTTGCTGGCAGATTGGGTACATAAATATTGTTTTCAATAGGCCACCAAATAGAAAAAAATCACTTAGAGTATGATTGAAAGATATTGATGTTCATCTGAGCGCTGCTAAGCCGTCTAATTTTTGTAATAATTTTTCATTTGAGGAAATAACGACAAATGCAACGTATCAAGAAGCAGTTTGCAGCAGGGACATTCTTGATAAATTTATAAAGATGATGCATACTTTTGACAATGCAATAAGATTCACAAATTTCATTACTTGGGCTTTTGCGCTAAAATTGTAGATGAATTTTGGAACTTTCTTTTCTTTTAGTTCATTAATTATTTTATGAGTTTTAAATAAAAGTTGAGGTTATAAACACATTTTAATCTTATTTTATTTTTCAATTTTTAGGTCTGAATGGCACGTTGTCATTCAAATTATTTGGTTGAACAGTCGTTTTTCGGGAAAGAAGAATAATTCTTCTGTTTCCAATAATTTTCCTCCGTCAAATAATCAAAAACATAGAACAATTTTCCGAAAAATCAAGAATTAAGTTGTAGAGACATTAGGTATTTTATTAAAGCAGGCAAGATAAAAAATTAGCAATTTCTTCGCCGGGAATCGAACCACGGACCTTTGAAATACCGGCTCAGTGTGCTGACCACTACACCACGAAGGCGAGAGAAATACCTTTTATACTTCCCCTTTTAAAGGGCGACTGGGATTTTTAGTGGACCCAATCGCCAAATACTTGGTGTGGAGAATCCTCATCCACAACCCTTTTAGTTCGGACGCCACTGTAGAGAAATCAAGTTATTTGGAAAAGCCGGAGAGATGAAAAATTAGTGTAGCCTTCGCCGGGAATCGAACCACGGACCAATACCGGCACAGCGTGCAGAACCACTTCACCACGAAGGTACGCTAGGAAAGCGGGAGAAATACCTTATATACTTCCCCTTTTTAAAGAGTGAATGGGGCTTTAGGGGACTCACTCGCCA